CTAACAGTAATAACAATAACGGTAATAGTAATTAGAATTAGGAAGGGAGGAGAAGGTGACAAACTGTGAAGTGTTAATCAGGGATTCAGGGCAAGGACTTCCGTTCACGTCCAAGGCGGAGGAGGCGGTGGTGGGGGACTTCTCTCTACTTTTTCCTTATGGACCTTGTCTCTTTCTCTTGCCCTGGACAAAAATTTTCACATTGAAAAGCTATCAGACACCATGGACGCTTTGGCCCCTCTAAAATAAATTAAAAATCTTCGTTCTAAATACCCAAAAGAACAGAAAAAGCATCCAGTTCATTTTCTGTCCAGTCTCTAAGTCCCCTACTTTTTCTGTTTATTTCAGCACTGTTAACTTGTTCAGGACAGGATCAGAGGAAGCTCAAAAGAATAAGCTTTCTGGGGTTAATTATCTTTCTTGACAAAGAAAATGCTCATTCTGATGAAGAGGATGATAATCTACTGCAGAATTCATGGGCTTTTATATTACTGCATATGATAAAACTGCTCCATTTAGCAACAGTTTGTTTTATCTATCACTGGCTAGTACTATATAGTATATTCTAATAGCTTAGATGCAACTTGTGGAAACCCAAGGTCAAACTTATGAAGATCAAGCCAGAAGCCTTAACATATCAACTCACAGGCTGCAGATGCTATTTCTTGAATATCTCTTAGAGAAAGTCTTGGAGATATAGAAGGTTATCTGTATAGTTCAGCATCCCCACGCAAGGGTTTGAATTGTTTTGGAATTTTAGAAAACCTTTGTTTTTTAATTTGGTATTTCTTAGGCAGCAAGTCTTAGAATGCCACATAGCAAATGATTTTGGGCAGTTCATGAAGGGTGTGTCGATTACTTTTCTCTATCTATATCACTGTATATCTGATGAGAATAAGTGGAAATAAAGAAAAAAAAAACTTTGAAGTTCTTGGTTTTAATGTCTGTTGCTTCTAATTCTGTTTCCTTTGCTGTTGGCTCTTTGTTCCCCTTTGGTGCCAACCCCAATAAGTCTTCCTTTATGGTTTCTTTCAAGATCTTAAATCAATATCAGAATCGAGACTGTTGTAAGGCTTATTTAATAGCTACAGTTACAGTTACAGTTACTTGTTTTTTTTCTTCTTTCCTTTTCTTATTATTTTATTTCTAGGATATGCCGCCAGGGGCATACTTGTAATTTCAGACTCTTTTATGAAGTTAATATAAATAGAAAACTGGCGGCTGCCAGTAGT